TCTGAGCTTGGTGGCCCAGGAGGCACTCGGTTTTTCTTGTCTCATCTTGTCCTGTGTCAAACCTGGGGTCTGAGAACATTCATCTTGGGAAGGTCTGGCTCTATAAAATCTCTAGAACGTTAGGGCCCCCTATTCTACCATTTATCCTCATCTCTATTCCCATAAAAGAAATTCTTGGAGCTGATTTTCCTTGTTTTTCTGGATTGTGCAGTGATGAAACATATGGCTTAAGAGAAGCATATCCCAAGCTCCCTGAACTTGACTGAACATTCCAGAGCCAAACCCTGGCTGATGGCCATATGAAGGGACTCCATCAACAAATGGCTCAATGCTACATGCAGATTCCTTGATGTGCATAAATAAAAACTAAAAAGGATACACTAAAAAAAAAAGACATGTGCAACAACAACAACAACAAAAACTACAAAGGACTCAGCCCTGACCAAGGTGGTTTCTCTTTTTTGAAACTTAGTTACAATTCAGAACATTCTTCCTTCCTAGTGTTCCCATCCAATTCCACACTTAGCTTCACCTGGAAAAGAAATGAAAAGGAATAAATGTTTTTGTAGTTGAAGCTTGCCATGACTGATGCAGGTGCATCTTGTCTGCAACACAGTTGAGGTAGAAACGTTCACATTTACCCAAGTGGTGAACTGGGGTGGGACTCCTTCAAATAGAAATTCGCAGCAATTCTTTCCTCAGGCAACTTTAGGGACACACAGTTGAGTGCTTGAGGGATAGCTACTTATCTATTTAACTTACAAAGAGAAAAGAAACACTTCTTAAAAGAAAGCCACATTTAAAAGGAAGATATGGAAAATGCTTATGAAATGATACTAAGCAAAAAAATTTGTATTGTGGTATATTTACTTTATTGCATACATATTATAGAAGGAAAGCATAGAAGAATATATAACAAAATATTAACAGTGGTTGTTTCTGGGCGGTAAGTTTATGGATGATTTAAAATTTTCTTTTTATTTTTCTATAATGAGCATATATTATTATTATTTTTACCACATATATGTATTTAATACTATGTATAGTAAAATGCATAAAATATATTTTTGACTACATATATTTTATTATTTTTAATATACATCTTAGTATTAAGTATGATGACAAAAAGGCAGACCTGTGGCGACCTCAGGTACCTTTCCCACGTCTGCAGAGGTTCCCAGTCACCTGCTTGGCTAGGAGCACTATGTCACCCTGAAGAGCAAGAGAATGGCCCTCTGGCTCCTGCCTGACTCACCCTCCCCTGCCCAGCCCAGTGCCACTGAAGCATACTTGCCAAGGGACAGAAATGAAAGCAGCACCCTGGTGCACCTCCCAGCAAACAGGTTGCACCCATGCTCCACGGGCTCCTGCAGCCCCTGTCCCCAATTCACTCCTCAGGGGAATCATGGCCACGCCACCTGGCTGAAAGGGTGGACTGAGCTCCCGCCATATGACATCAGCCAGGGCGGGCTCCCCTCTCGGCCATTCCCTCCTCCTTCCTCCCGCCCGAAACCTGATCCAGCTGAAGGTCTGATTGCTGGAAAACTTGGCGGCTCCCCAACCCTGGTGGCCCAGGGAGTGTGAGCCTGCAGCCTCAGAAGGTGCAGGCAGCGACCCGGAGAGGCAGGCTGGCTGGGACATGAGGCTGGCAGCGGGCGGGCAGGCTGGCCCTTGGAGGGGCTCACCCTGAGCAGCCACTCGGAGGCACTCCCACGCGGGAAGCTCGCCATGCTGCCGTGGGCCCGGCAGGCGCTGCTCACGCTGCTCCTCCCCACGCTGCTGGCACAGGGAGAAGGTAAGCATTTTAGGGTCACAGCATGACTCAGCTGGCCCTCTTGGCAGGTGGGGTAGGGGATGCTTCCACCTTCAGAGGGTTGAGGTAAGGAGGGTTGGGAGTGGTGTAGTTGCAGGAAAATCAGCTATCTTACCACGTATAAGCCAAGAGCATTTTGAGCTAGAAAGTTGGGAAAGTTGAGTCCTGGGGCGAGAGCAGGACTTGCAAGGAGGGGAACAGAAGACCAGCCTCGTGGCAAAATAGAAAAACAGACACGGGCACCAGGAGAAGGGCTCCTCTCCTCTTTGCCCTGCCCCTAAACTCATTGAATGGCAGCTGCAAGGGACTTCTGAGCTCATTTGGTCTGGCCCCTCCTGTTATAAATGGGAATGCCTGGTCCAAAGAGGGGGAGTAATGCGTACAGCTTGTTGGCAGCAGAGTGCGGACCAGAACTAATCTCATCATCTGGCCTCAACTTCTCTGGTTTTGTTGCATTAGCTCTCTGGGCCTGCAGTTCCCCTCCAGAACTTAAAATCCAGTAATGCCCTACTTCTCTCTGCATTCCCTACCCCCATCCAGTCCTCCTGACTCCCTTGAATACAAGGAATATGTTTCCCTTCGCTGCAGATTTTGTTCCTTCTCCTTTGGAAGGGTTCTCTCCCTGCACAGCTGGTTTGGAGCACATTGGGGCACAATTAGAAGGACGCCATCTGGGGACTGGACAGAGGTGCAGGGCTGTGGGCGAGAGGAGCTGTCATCTGGAGATGCTGAGTGGGCTAGGCAAACACAAGCTGGGGAGAAGCTCTGTCCCTCCCAGCCATGGTCCTTTGCTCTGAGGTCTGCAGGGACAGTCTGGCTCTCTCCACGCCGGTTAGAGTCCCAGTCAGTAGGATCTGGGCTGTCGCCAGTATAGCAGAGACACACACACGGATCTGGACTTGAATCTCAGTTCGTGCACCTATAGGGCACGATACTCACCCTTCTGAGCTCTGGGCATCCTTGTCTGTAAACAGCCACTCTGGTGGACTGCTCTAAGGTCAAAATGAAGACTAGGTTAACTGATGTTATTCCAAAGGAGGCACTAAAAAAGACAGTCTTGATTTCCCTCTCTCTGTCCTAAAGGAAGCCTAAACCTTACGAGGGATGCGGGGTGAGAGGGAATCTGTAGTACTGATCTGCTGTGCAGGCTGCACACAGGATGAGGAAGGGGCAGTCTTGCTTGGTGAGAGCCCGGCCTGCTGGCGCCTGGTCTTCGAAAGACCCCAGTCTACCCGCCCAGTCCCATCTCCTCTTTGCCGCCTGTATCGTGGTCCTCCAGTGTGTACCCCCTTCCCCACCCCATGCACTTTCACCTTCATATTCCATGCCTCCCTTCAGAAAGTGCTCCTACTGTCCCCAGAGCGGACACTGGGGTGCACGTGAAATCCGCATAGAATAGGACTAGGGCCTAGGAATTGGCTTCTTCATCACGACTTTGTCCCTGCAGGCCTCCCGCCCTGGGAGCAGTTTGGTTTCTCCTTGCTCCCTCCACACCTCTCCCGAACCTTCCTCCTAAGCCCATCCAGTTTGCCCGTAGAGCAGCCCTCCTGCAAACCCTTCCCCCTTAGCCTGTATGTGCATGGAGAGAGGGGGGAGGGGATCATTTAGGGTGGAGAGAGAGCAGGAGAGACAACGTCTGTTTCCTCCAGATGTCCACCCTTCCTTCTTTCTTCCCCAGTTGCAGGCTGGGGGCAAGGAGATAGTGGTCTGTGCAGACGCTGAGATCGGACCTCAGCTGAGGACAACCCTGATGCAGACCGTTAAGCTTGGAAACTGTGCACTTGCAGTCACACTTTCTTGCACCCCTCCCACCTTCTAGTATCACCCAGTGACAGCCAGCTTCCCTTTTGCTTCCCAAGACCCCAAAACCAGGACCCCACAGAGCCCCCTCCTCTGCACCTTTCTCAGCCTTCTTCAAAGCTCACCTGTCTCCTGTCACCTCTGCTTGTGGGCCACATGCCTGCTCTGATGTAAATGAGAAAACAGGTGGCTTCTAGGCAGCCACCACTTTATTTTGGTGGGAATCTCTGCAGACAAAATGCTCTAGTGGTGAGAATTCTAGTCTGTGGGGCTACGTAGGGATTTAGCTTGCAAACCAGGGCAAGGGAACTAGGCGAAGGCCTGGGCTCTGGTGACCACACTGAACCACTCTCCTTCCCAGCCCGGCGGCAGGGGAGCCCCCAGGGCCGGAACGCCAGCAGGCCCACGCTGCTGAGGCTGTCTGATCACCTCTTGGCCAACTACAAGAAGGGGGTGCGGCCCGTGTGGAACTGGAGGAAGCCAACCACTGTGTCCATTGACGTCATCGTCTATGCCATCCTCAGCGTGGTAAGTACTCAGCTCCAAGCTGCCCCTCTCGTAGGGAGACATTTTGGGGATAGAAGGCAGCGTGTGAGACCAAGTCACTCCCTGGAAAGCATAGTGGTCCTTCGAGAACCCATAGTACCCAAGGTCTGGGACCACAGCTGACCATGGATGGCAACACCATCTGCACAGCTGCCCACACCAGAAACCGGGGTCACCTGTGTGGCTGTCTCTCCCACACCCCTACAGCCCATAGGTCTCTTCCTGCACATGGTTCTTCAGACATTGCATAAGGGCAACCATCGCTCTATGTCGGGCTAAGACTGTCCTATTCATCTCTGTGTTCTCTGTGCCTTCCACAGGTCCCTGGTACGTGGCAGCATCATTAAATGGTTGTTGAAGAATCAACCAACAGATCACTTAATTAATCAATTAATTAAACAAAAAGGCAATTGCAGAGATGCAGTGGCCCTGTGCTAGGGTTGGGTGGGTGGACCTGACTTTAAAGTCTCCGTCACAGTCACTGTCACTGCCTCGATACAGAATGATGTCACTGCATTTAGAACGTCTCTGAGCAGAAACATAATATACTGGTTGCTGTGGGGCTTCAGGGAGGGAAACTGGGAACTGGACGGGGGATTTGGGAAAGTGATGAATTTCTCACTCTATGTGGCTTTGTACTTTTTGATTTCATCTTAATACCAAGGCAGGCTGTATAGCTGTGTTTGTGTGTGTGTGTGTGTGTGTGTGTGTGTGTGTGTGTGTATGTGTGTAACACAATAGGAAATAATAGAGAGTAGGTATAATATATATGTGCATATATATATTTGAACGTGAAAAAGAAATAATCATTGTCTCTTTCCTAGTAAAAGCCCAACCTTTCCTGGCTGGCTGGCAGCCCCAGCTTATGCACCCCCCACCCCGGGCCCCTTTCTTCACTCTTACCTCCCAGGGAAGCAGAGGCACAAGGAAGCAGCTCCTTTTGGGGGTAGTGTGTACAGGGTGGGCCCCCAGCCTGCAGGGCCACCTGTCTGAGCTCACTTTCCTTTCCCAGGACGAGAAGAACCAGGTCCTGACCACCTACATCTGGTACCGGCAGGTGAGCAGGCCAGCCCTCCCCTGCCCCGCTTTCCTGGGGTGGGGACTTCTCCTCCCTGGAAGGGTTTCTCCTTCTGAAGGAGTCGAGAATCCCAGCGGCCTTGGTGGGGGAAGGCGAGGGGAGAGGTTCAGAGGCGCCCTCAACGAGAGATCCAGGAGTCCAGAGTCTTCCCGTCTCAGGACTGGGGGTGGAAGGGAGCTTAAAGATCATTGGAGAAGAAATCCTCCAAGCCCCCTCCAATTTCCGAAATTCTTCACAGCACCCCACACCAGTGCTTGTCCAGCCTCTGTGGCAGGACCACCTCCCGTGCCAGGGAGCCCACAAGGCAGCCACTTCCCTTGCAAACAGCTCTAATTGCTAGACGGTTCTTCCTCCTATTAAGGCAAATTGGACAACAACCAAATTGAGTGATTGAAACAGGATGGTTCGTTCCATCCACTTAGCCCTCACATCCTCAGCCGCTTCTCCTCCCTTCCAGCTTCTGACAGCCCGGTCAGGCCTCTGCAGGAGCTCTGGCTTCACCCTGGCAGGGCAGGGCAGGCACACAGTGAAGCCTGCTGCCCGCAGGTGGGCCCTGCTCCCGCAGCCCCTGGAGTTGTGGGGAAGAAGTCAGAGCAGCAGGGGGAGCTAGAGTGGCTGGAGAGAGGGGAGCAGGAGGATGAGGACGGCTTCCAGAGGTCACGCCTGAAAGAGGCTCTGGGGTGTGCGTGGGTATCTGTGAAATCCCTCCTCGCTGCTCATGGGCACCTGCACCTCCACCACTCGCTCAGGGGATGCGGGGGCGGGGGCACTACAGGAAGGAGCCAGAACGCTGATCCTTAGATACTGCTCCGTTTCTGCCCCACCAAGGGATGCCTTACTACAGAGCAACCCTGCCTCAGGGAAAAGGACCCACACAAGACTAGGAGCTCCATTCCCTAGGGCACGTGGCCCAGGTCCCGCCTCTAGGCCTCTAGGTTCACTCCTCCGCCTCAGCTATGGCAGTGAGCAGTGAGGGAGCGTCCACCTACTGTGTACCGGCGACTGTGCTTAGGGGCTGGAACTAGAGACACAAACTAGACTCAGACCCTGCCCACAAGGAGCTCATGGACTAGTGGGAGCAACAGACACGGGACAGACAATTGAAATGCAGGAACATGGCTGCTCCAATGCAACAGAGACAAGATGCTAACCAGGGGGACACAGAGGAGGCCCATACAACCCAGCGAGTGGCGTGGGGGTCATGGAAGCTGTCCTGGAGGAGGGAGCAGACATCTGCCTTGGCTAAGTCTGGAAGGATGAGGAACACTTATCTCGGTAAGAAGTCAGGGCTTGCAGGATGGGAGAGGAAGCAGAGGACGCAGAGATGTGGAGGTTTGGATAGTTCTGCACTCTATATGTGAAGAATTCACAGAGGCATGGATGGCCAAAACGTGAGGCTAGAGAGACGGTGGGGGCCAGGTTATGTGGGCCTTTGTTGGCTGTGAGGTTTAACTTTATCCTAACGCCAATGGGGCACCATTGAAGAGCTTTAAGCAAGAGAGTGACATGACAAAATTTGCATTTTAGACCAGCCATTCTGGCCTGAGAGAGGAGAACACATGGATCAAAACTTAATAGCCACATCTACCCCGTGAGGTGGAAGTTATTATCCCCATGCACATACCGTATTTCCCCAAAAATAAGACAGGGTCTACATTTACTCTATTTCCTTTAGAACTATTGGCCCCAGTCTCTCATGTGGAGCAATAGAGCTCTCATGGGGCAGATGATCTTCTTTAAAATGCATGGGTTGTGCAGATGCGCTGCGTAGCCACGCCCGTCACTAGGTCTTATTTTCGGGGTAGGACTTCTATTGCGCAAATGCTTAGAAATCTGCTAGGGCTTATTTTATGGGTAGGTCTTATTTTCGGGGAAACACGGTAAATCCAGTCTATGACCCAAGAAATTATTTGTCAGAGATCCCTCAGTGAGTGGCTAGGGGACCCGTAACACTAGAAATGACCGAATGCCCTCCCCGAGAGAGGCTGCATCCCCGTGTGGCTATGCCTGTAGGGAGAGTAAGAGTATGGAGGTGGGGGACTCAGTTACCACTGAGTCATGTGGGTGCCACCGACACCCAGCTTCTCCCCGGAAGACGCCTGCCTGCTGCCTGGGCACCGGGGGTGAAGTCTGCCTGGGTTGCAGGCGACCCTCCCCCGGAAGGAGAGGGCGGCCCGTGACCCTCCTGCCCCTCCCCCAGCACTGGACTGACGAGTTTCTCCAGTGGAACCCTAAGGACTTCGACAACATCACCAAGCTGTCCATCCCCACGGACAGCATCTGGGTCCCGGACATCCTCATCAACGAGTTGTGAGTGCTGTCATCGGATGCTGGGCAGCCGGGTGGCCGGGCGGCTTGGGGGCTGGGAGGCAAGAGCGCTGCTGCTGCATTTGAGACGTCCCACCAGACTGGCAGATTGTAGGTAAAGCTGGCTGGAGCCCACATTCCCCAAACTCACTGTCTTCTTTTTATCTTTCTTTTTAAAAACTCCTCTTTCTCTGTGCCTGATGTTGAAGCTCTGTACTTAGTCCGAGGGCCCCTGTCATGGAGAAAGAAGCCAGTGAATGAACTCACACTGGGTTACAAGATGGCGGACAGCTGCATTTTTACAGGGGACAGCAGTGTGTCTAAAGGGAATAGAGCACTGACGGTGGCCACTGCTCCTGGTCACAGGGGAGCTTTGGAGCTGGAGAACGTGCTCAAACCTCCCAAGTCACACGTGTGCCCGACAGGCCACAAATTGCTCCTCCAATACAAAGTGGGTCCAGGAAGCCTTTATTTCCAGTGGCCAAATGCTATTCCATTTGGCCCCAGCCCACACACCTTCTCCCCGTCCTGCAGGCTCATTCAGGGTGCACCAGTCGGGTTTCCAAATTCAAGGCAGGGAAGTGGCTGGGGAGATGGATGCAAAAGGGAAGGGGACAAGTGGGGACAGAGCCCTCCACCCAACACCCACTGCATCGCCCAAATCCAGGGTGCCACAGACATTGTCCCAAGGAAGGCAATTGGCCTTGACTCTACTCCCATGCCCTGCATAGCTCAGGCTGGAGGGGCTCTGGGAAATCTGTTTCTGGCCAGATCTCCAGTTTCAACAGTGAAGTCACCTTAGTCTTGACTTCTCATGTCTCAGCCTGATCCCACTGGAGCGTGAAGGCTTCGGACCCCAGGCTCCACCCACCCTGGCCCACAGCGGTCCCTCAGGAGGGCCTACACGTCCCAGATCGGCCAAGAGAGTGGGATGAAGTCTTGTGGAACTTTTCTGCCTTCCCCAATTTTTGCCCATGATTTCCTTAGCTCCTTTTCCTTCAAGAGGATTGTTCTCATTTCAAAGGATTTCTGGGGGTGGGAAGCAAAGACAAGCCAGAGTCAGGATGGAACATAAGGTTCTTTCCTCCCCCACAAGCCCGCCTGTCCCCACCGGGCTGGTGATCCTGGGAGCCAAGCTCTGCCTGGTCCCTGGGGGCAATGGTGCGGGTGTAGCTGGGCAAGCTCCCCACCGCTTTTGGGTCCATGGATCTTTCCACCCTGACTTCTGTGACCAGGAAAAAAAAGGAGAAATGTCTTTTTCTGCTTGGAAAGTAGCCTTGACAATGGCAGGCCAGGAAGCCTAAGATAGGAAGGTTGGAAAAACCAAAGCCAGACAAAACTGCCCTGCTGCCTGTGCCCTCCCTGAAGTTCTTCCCCTGCTGGGTTGCTCAGAGATCTTTAGACTCCTAGGGCTTCACCTGCCTCTTGTGCCCCCAAACTGACCCCTCTTCCCTGGCCAGCGTGGACGTGGGGAAGTCTCCAAATATCCCATACGTGTATGTTCAGCATCACGGTGAGGTCCAGAACTACAAGCCCCTCCAGGTGGTGACCGCGTGCAGCCTGGACATCTACAACTTCCCCTTCGACGTGCAGAACTGCTCGCTGACCTTCACCAGCTGGCTGCACACCAGTGAGTATGTGGGCTTCTGGGGGTGGCGGGGTGGAGGTTTGGGGCTCCAGGGAAGCCCAGGCAAGCAGCACTCCCTGGGCTGCCTTCTCCCTTATCCAACTTGCTCACCACTGATCTTCTTAATGTCTCTGAGCCTCTGCTTCCTCCTCCTCCACGTGGGGAGAATATTGCTGCCCTCGCTGCCTCTTTCCATTGTCATATGGATTGAATGAGATAGTGTGAACTGACTGCAGAATGCCCAGGAAAGGACAATTCTTTTCCAATTTCTCAAACAGGATCTGGCACTAAATGTCTCTCCAATGCTCTCGCTTCTCCTCACCCCCCCAGCCAAGCCACCCCCATCTCCTGCCCAGGTTTCTGCACCAGCCTCCTCCCTGATCTCCCCGATTCACTATTATCCCCTTCCAATTCATGCTCCTCACAGCAGCCAGTGAGATCTTATTAAAATGCAAATGTGACCAAGTCACTTAAAACCCTCAGTGGCTTCCCGACAGTCCTGGGACACAATCCACATCCGTGGGCTGGCTTCGTCTTGGCCTGCCACTCTGGTCTCACCTGCTGCACGCTGCCCTGGCTCCACTCCTGCCCAGCTGCCTTGACTTCCAGCCCCAACGCCCCTTGTTCTTTCCCTTTACCACATGCCATTTCCTCTCCTGGGCTACCTCACTGCCCTCCTCCCTCTCCCCAACAACTGAGCCTGGCCAACCCCTCTGGTCACAGCCTAAGCGTTGGCTCTTCAGTTTCCCCTCTCACCCCCCAGGCTAGGCTATCCCTCTTCCCAGTTTCAACAGTGAAGTCACCTTAGTCTTGACTTCTAGTGTCTCAGCCTGATCCCACTGGTGCATAAAGGCTTCAAACCCCAGGCTCCACCCACCCTGGCCCACAGCAGTCCCTCAGGAGGGCCTACACGTCCCAGATCAGCCAAGAGAGTGGGATGAAGTCTTGTGGAACTTTTCTGCCTTCCCCAATTTTTACCCATGATTTCATTAGCTCCTTTACAACCCCCTGTTCTTCCCATCTCTACCTCTCCCCAAGTACCTCTAGGTACTTGCTCAATGCCTACTTCCCTCCTAGATATAAACTTAAGAGTGGGCACAAACATGATTTCTTGCCCACTGTTAGATTCTTGGTTCACTGCCTGGCACAAAAGAAGGTGCTCAGCAGATTTTACCGGGTGGATGAATGTTAGGTGCTCACCAGAGGGTTAGTGAAGTATGTACCACCCTGCGGCAAGAAGCATCTTCCATTTCTGTTCTGACTTATTCATGACATTAAACTTAAATTCTGGTAGTAATACATAACTTCCTTGACAAAGAGCTGAACTACAGATAAGGCTAAAGCCTTCTTTGATCTCTACCCTCAATCTCTCCAACTCTATTCCAACAACTCCCTGTAATAAGAGTTAACCACTTTTGTCAGTATAAGTTTCATATCCTTCCAGATCCTTCTCTATGCATTCATATCCACACATGCATGTGTGCATATCGACACACCCATATACATCTATGGAAAATGCATGGAAATTGTTTTCTGAGTTTTTATTTTATATAAATGCACCATACTGTATATACTAAAAAATACTGCTACTTGATTCTTTTTACTCAACAACAGCTCTTGGACATTTTTCTAAGTTAGTGCATATTTAGATCTTCCTCATAAATTTTAGCTACTATGGACTATCTCACGATTTTATTTATTTATTTATTATTTGAGATGGAGTCTCGCTCTGTCACCTGGGCTAGAGTGCCATGGCATCAGCCTAGTTCACAGCAACCTCAAACTCCTGGGCTCAAGCGATCCTCCTGCCTTGGCCTCCCGAGTAGTTGGGACTACAGGGGTGAGCCACCATGCCCAGCCTATCTCTCATGATTTTGGATGCATCATAGCTATTAAGCATGTTCCTGATTGATGGATATTTACATATTTTCCAATATTCTGCTGCAAGAGGCACTCCTGTCCTTCCTGGGGCCTATTTCTCTAGTGTAGATACTGAGAAGTGGAACTTCTATTCTTTAAGTGTGGATTTTGCTTATTTTACTAACTTTTAAAGACAGGCAGTTCCATCAAGGAAAAGGTGAAGTCTGTTGACTTTTGTTTGTTTCTGAAATGGGTAATTCTAACAGGGAGCCTAGAAAGGTGTTTGGAAAGGGTGTGTGTGTGTGTGTGTGTGTGTGTGCGTGTGTGTGCATGTGTGGGTGTCCACTCTGCACTGTGCCGTGTGTTTTCATCCAGGACTTCCTTTGCCGTCTCTGCAGCCCTGTGAGTTAGGTATGATGCGTAGTGGTGCCTCATTTTATAGCTGAGGAAAGCGAGGCTGAAGGCTGAGAGCCGAGGCTGGAGGTCAAGGCATCTGGCCTCCGCCTCCCCGGGTGGCTGCGTACTCGCATTCCACCGTCACGGGGTCTGGCGGGCTCCCCGCGCTGGACGCCAAGCTGGCTTGCTCGCTTCTCTCGCAGTCCAGGACATCAACATCTCCCTGTGGCGCTCACCAGAAAAGGTGAAGTCGGACAAGAGCGTCTTCATGAACCAGGGCGAGTGGGAGCTGCTGGGAGTGCTGACGCAGTTTCAGGAGTTCAGCATGGAAAGCAGTGGCCGCTACGCAGAGATGAAGTTCTACGTGAGTGGGGCGGACGTGGGTGCCGTGGGAATAAAGCCCCTAGACCTTCACACCGAGGTGGACTTAAGGAGGCTTGCACACTTAAGGAAGGACTGCCACAGCCCCTTTTCAACCCCAGGGTCCCACACATGCCCTGGGGCGCCCCATCTAACCAAGTAGATGGGGAAACCCAGCTGAATGTCCCCTACTTATCCCAAACAGCCACAAGCCTGGATTGGGAGGCAAGACATGGAGTCTGGCCATTTCCTTCTCTGAGAAATCCAAGCTGGAAGCTCCATGAAGCAAGGGGGTCTGGGTTGGGGGTGGCTCCTGGGGGCACCGCTGGTCTGCCCCGGGCTTCCCACGAGCTCCTCCCCCGGTCCCAGGTGGTCATCCGCCGGCGGCCTTTGTTCTACGTCGTCGGCCTGCTGCTGCCCAGTATCTTCCTCATGGTCATGGACATCATGGGCTTCTACCTGCCCCCGGACAGTGGCGAGAGGGTCTCCTTCAAGATCACGCTCCTCCTGGGCTACTCAGTCTTCCTGATCATTGTGTCCGACACACTGCCGGCCACCGCCATCGGCACCCCCCTCATCGGTAAGGCCCCCTCTGAAGGAAGAGCTCAGGCTGGAGAGAAACTGGCCCCCTCCCACCTCCCGTGTGTGTCTTTCCCTCCGCCCCGGGGCACACAGGTGTCTACTTCGTGGTGTGCATGGCGCTGCTGGTGATAAGCTTGGCCGAGACCATCTTCATCGTGCGGCTGGTGCACAAACAAGACCTGCAGCAGCCCGTGCCGGCCTGGCTGCGGCGCCTCGTGCAGGAGAGGATCGCCCGGCTACCGTGCCTCAGGGAGCAGGCGACTTCCCACAGGCCCCCAGCCGCCTCCCAAGCCACCAAGCCTGAAGATTGTTCAGGTGAGAGAGAGAGAAGGGGAGAGTCTCCCACAGAGGGGCCCCTTCTGGCCTGGATGCAGGATGCGGTGGGAGGAAGTGGCAGGCCAAGGAGGCTGGGCAGGGCCCGGGAACCAGGTGCTGCCCGCATGCAGTGCCCATGCCCAGCCTTACTGGGAGGGGGCAGACTTCCGCCAAAGGTGTCAATCCTGACCCTGTCTTTATTTTCACAACCTCTCATCAACCTGGCTATAGACAGAGAGGGTAGGAGTCCCAGAGGCTCAGTACGTTGGAAGCTGAGCCCTCTGGCCTGAGATTGGCCTTTCTTTGAGAGGGAGCCATGAGTGAGGTTAAATGGATGCCCTTTGGGCAATTGTAGGCCTTTTTGTCTCACCTGGTTAAATGCTGCAGCTGCAATGTCTAAAATTCTCTCATCCTTGATAGCTCAAAGACCAGATTCCTTAGAATTTCAACATAAGGCAGAGAGACAGGGGCTCAGGGAGACACTAAATGTGGGGCTCACGCCTCCTGAAGAATTGCTACAGCTACCACGGGTGTTGTTATTGGTGATGGTGGTGGTTGGTTTGTTGGATTATCCATCGAGCAGTTTGTGCCAGGCACGTGCAAAGCTCTTTCTGTGCATTATCACATGTAATATTCATGACAGCACAACAGGATTCTCATTCTTTCAAATGAGGAAGCCGAGGCGTAGAGAGGTCAAATAGCTCGTCCTAAACCACAGAGCCAGGAACTGGTGGAACCGTGCTTTGAACCCACCTGACTCTAAGCTCCTGTTCTTAAGCACTCCTCTCCTCTCCACTCCCTTTCACCCTTCCTCCTGGGTAGGGCCAGGCTTTCTACAAGACTTTTGGTTCATGTAAGGCCATCCCACTGAGCTGAAGCTAATTTCACTTGGGGACAGTAGCCATACCTGAAGGTGTATTTTCTGGTCCAGGGCTCAGAGTGATGGAGATCACAGCAGTGCCCTCCAGACAGCCGCCCCCTTGTGAGGCAAGATGATGCGTAGCAGGAGAGCAGTGGAGTGAGGGTCAGTATTCCTGGGACTTGGCATTAAATGATGCTCTATGTGACCACAGGCTAGTCACTTAGCCTCTCCGTGGTCAGCACTATCGTTTAGCAAACAGGAATAGTGATCTCTCCTATTCTGCCTCTCTTGTGCGGCTATTGTGAGGCTCGAATAAAACAAGGGATGGCAGATTGCTGGGGAAAGCCCATACATTGAAAAAACACACAGGAAGGAGAACCTCATGGTATTAGTGATCTGGGGAATGGGTGGAGGTTGTGACTACGAAAGGGTACACAGGGATCCTCGATCGTATTGCCTTTTTTAATTTGTTTAAGTTGCGTGGTGGGTTTGCAAATAGGTCAGTTCCTCTCTATACTTTTTATGTCTGAAGTTGTTCCTAACAAAAATGTCTGTAGGCTGTAGAAACATAAGGGGCAGTGTTCAGGCCATCCCGCTGGCTCTCCCTTGCCAAAGCTCTGCCCTTCTTACAGCCATGGGAAACCACTGCGGCCATTTGGGAAGATCTCTCAACTTGGAGAAGACCCCAAGGGGCAGATGCAGCCCTCCCCCGCCCCCAAGAGGGGCCTCGCTGGCCATGCGTGGGCTGCTGCAGGAACTGTCCTCCATCCGGCACTTCCTGGAGAAGCGGGATGAGATCCGAGAGGTGGCCCGGGACTGGCTACAGGTGGGCTGTGTGCTGGACAAGCTGCTCTTCCGCATCTACCTGATGGTGGTGCTGGCCTACAGTGTCACCCTGGTCACACTCTGGTCCATCTGGCAGTATTCCTGAGTGGGTACAGCCCAGCAGGGGAGGAAGGTATGGGGCTGTGTAGGATGGGGACAGAGGATTTCTGCTTAGGTCCTCCAAGGCCCAAGAGATACCAGGGACATCTTCAAAACACAGAGACAATCCCATCCCATCTCCAGTGAAAAGTCATCTGAGCAATCTTGAGCCAGCATCTGAACCCTTCCCCCCAAAACTTAATGTTCAAGACCCTTCCATCCTCTTCCCACCCGACTGCTCATTATGGCTTTAAAACATGCTGTCTTAGATCAAGAGAAACCTGAGCACTCCTGAACTTCACTCTACTTATCTACATATCAAGCCTAAGTTTCCCCAAAGTCCCTTCTCTGAATAAGGCACTTTGGAATTCTGGTCATCTCCCCCGACTTAGTTTTTAGGTTGAAGGCAAAACCAACTCTCTACTGCAGTAGGGTCTGACAACTCTGCACTAGGTTTGTCCAACCCCTATGGCTCCTTCTTCACCTCATCTGTGGCCACTTCCCTGAACACCATCCATAGATGGTGGGATGGGTGGGAGCAACATATTGGCATGAACCCTTAGACTCTCTTCTCGACCCCTTGTCAGCAGCTTTGGGAAAAGATTGCATGGGCAGATGAAAAGGTTTAAAGTTACTGGTAGAAATGAGGTTTGGGAATTTTCTCTAGCTCCAGCTGTTTGGTGCTTTCTGGCCCAGGGATCTGGGAAGTGACCAAATGGTAGCTGTTATGAATAAGAATCAGTAGGAGGTAGAATGTAAGGTATGCGGGTCAGGACAATGAACACTCAGCAGTGAGAGGAGGGAGGGAAAAGTTCAGTTCTGCAACTCCCTGGAGAGATGCTGGAAGGATCCATGAGGTTCTGTTACTATTCTAGGCTCATGATCTCTCAGGACATCTGGGAGCAAGCTCTTTCCCTGCAAGAGTATCTCACAATTGGGGACAGGGGTGGAGTGGGGAGTACAAGAACTTCAGCACCACGGTCAGCACCAGTGGGTTTGGTGTTTGGGAAATAGCAAGAAAGCCAAGGCTTGGATTTACTTATCTTCTTTGGAAACTGTCAGCAGTCAGCCCTTGGTGCATCCACCAGAAAGCAGGACCATGAGGGAGGCGGTCAGGAGAATGGTCTTTGATCTTGTGCCTCATATCCTGGCTCCCTCTCCCAGACATCAGGGCTTAAGACATGCCAAGGAACACCCCAACTCCATTGCTCCATCCACCTAACAAGCATCCAGAGAAAAAGAATGCTAGACTCCCCCAAGAGTGATCTGTCTTAGCGTCCACAGTGTGTGAATGAGGCTTTCTCTGGTTCTCCCGGTCTCACTGCGGCCGTATCCCTCCCCTATCTTGGGCTGCCTGTCGCTCTGCGTAAGGCACAGTGGAGAGGGACTAATACTGCCAGGCTACAGGGAACAGACCCAAACGGGATATCTGGAATGAGTTCTAACATTCTCACTGTCTCCACAGTTGTTCCGGGCCAATTATTAATATAAGAGACTCTACAGTATGAAACGCCCGAAACTATACATTCCCCTGACCCCAAACTCCGCAATTCTAGTTCATAAACCATCCTGGAGACTGGGCAGACAGAGGGCAGAACCGTAGAACCTTGGAAGATTCATGGCTGAAAGAGCTTAGAGGCTGAGGAAGGGGTTTATCTAGTTTAGCTTCTGTCAGCTGCTTCTCACCCCAGCTTCCCCAGCATGCAGACAAACCCACTAAACACTGTCTCACTGGCTCATCGTTCCTAAGACGAACTGGGAATGATTTCATCTGCCACCTCCCTCCCAGGCATATGTACTTTTAATATCAGTGATCGAGGATTAGTTATCTTCATTTTTGTTTTGTTGATGGGTAGGGATCAGGGTCTCTCAGCAAAAAGCAAGAGATTTGGGGGCTAGGGATTGGCCCCCCTCACAGCTGTTGCCTCCTGCTGAGCAAAGTCCGGGCTAGATGGGGGGATTGTTCAATACTCCTCTCTCAGCATGGCCCCTGCAGCCCATAGGTTGGAGCCTTGTCTTAGGACCCAAAGCAGCCCCATTCCACGAGGACTTGCTTGGGCCAGCCATGCCGTAGGTGATTCTCATGTCTCAGGCCAGAGGGACAGACAGGTGGACAGTCTGGCACTGCGAATGCACCACTGGTCAGTAAGTGGGTGGCTATTGGCGAAGTGTCCAACCAAAGAGCTAGTAAGACACTAATCACACTATTGATCCTCCACCTCCCCCACCCACCCTTCACCCACAATCAATGGGGCAACAAAGCCCAGCATCGAGGCAGCCAATTAACCACCTCGAGAATGAGCCGCCACATGTAACATCTTCTGCTCCAGTAGCTACATCCAATCAGCACATCGATCTAGCATCTGGGCCGTGCTGCCCAGGGATGGGAAACTGAGGCCCAAGGCCAGAGAATGCCCCAGTGCACGAACTCCTGCCCATCCATACGAGGTTGGCCTTCTCCCAAGGAGACCTTTGCTCTGTCTGGGGTGTGAGAACACCCAGAATTTCCCTCCCACTTGTTATATCTCCCAGAACCTGATTCCTCCCCTCCTTTTGCCACTTCTCATCGCCTCTCATGCTTTCCTGAGCAGAGAGAGAAAACCAGAAACGCTTATGTCTTCATAAGTGTTTCTGAGAAGCTCAGCGATTCTCCTCCTCCCCTCCCCTCCTCTCCTGCAGTCTTCTCTATATACTCCCAGTTCTCATCTCCTTTTCCCACCCACCCTGCTTTCCAAAGCTGTCGTTTCTACTAAAAAGATTCCATCAAAGGTGCTGACAGTGCCCAGCCAGAACCCCTTCGGCCCCCTGTGGGTTCAAGACCCGCACTGCTCCAAAGCCATCCTGGGAGGGGGCTCCCTTTCCTCTTAAGGAAACCCGAGCTCAGGGGTCTCAGGGATGCCCCCCCAGGAGCGGACACCCAGCGGCCCAGGCAGAGTGGCTGAGCTCAGAGGCCAGGATACGAGCTTAGGGGAGATTTCCATAAGAGAATACAGAGGAAGAAAAGTTGCCTTTTTGGGTGAAAGAGGGAGAGGAAGAGCTCCCAGAGAGGTGTGGTTCAGAATTCGCCAGCCAGATTCGCCTCCCTCCCCCAGCCTCTGAATCAATACATTCTGAATCTAATCTAATAACAGAGATTTAACGAGGGGATAATGCAAGCGGAGCCGCCAGGCGCTTTGTTGCTTCTTTCATGCGGCAGCTGGGGCCCATTATCCGGGGACAATGCCCCGTGCTAATCACTCCTCTCTCCTCCCTCTGGAGGGGTTGGGGAGGGGTGGTGGGCAAGAGAGGGCAGCTCCTTCATCGATTGGAGGGGAGTGGAGGGGCGGAAAGGAGGGAGGTGAAGTCGAGAAGGGTCTGCACGGTCCTCACGCGACTGTCCTGACCTGACACCAACTAACTGGCCGCCTCCCCTGGCCACACCGCACACCCTGACCAGAGAGCCGCCGGGGGAGCCCTACCAACGCGCACAGACAGCAGATAATTAATGATCAGCTGCAGTACCAGTGCTGAGAGTTGGGTAATTTTTTTTTTTCTTTTTTCTAACTTGGTCCTCTATAATTTAAGCTATCCCATTGAGGCTGCTGATTGGCCAGGCCTGACTGTCATGGTTAGAGAATTAAACCCTCGTTTTAGGGACCAAGAATACCCCTCTTTGAAATAGAAGCCTGCTCCACATCCCCCCACCTCTCTTTTCTGTCTAGAAATGTGGAGGTTAGACTGTAGGAAGAACTTTCTGATGATGCAGTTCCTAATATGAGTTAGACTGGGAGTCGGAAAGGGAAGGAATAGAATCTCATTTCCTAGAAGCCTTTAAAAAGAGAATTTTATCTATCTCGGTTGGGAAGGGGCAGACCAGGGAGGACAGATCTGCCTCAGTTTCCCATCAGAGCTCTAGTTGGGAGAAAGCCCAGAGCTGGTACACCTGTAGCTTGACCACTTCCATTCCTTTTTTGAATGTATTTATTGAGGACAACATAAGATTACCATGCGGAGTGGGAGACCCCAAATTTGAAATTTGTCTGCAGCACAGGCTAGCTGTGAAATCTTGGACGAGCACTTAACTCCCCTGTGCTTCATCTTCTCACCTGCAAAACAGGGACCATCATATTAGTACCTGGCTGATAAGTGGTGTGGGGCACTGTGCTCTCAATGTGGGGCAAAAGCCCCAGAAATCAGGAGGCCGTGCTGGATACAGGTCTAGCGGCATACCAGTCCTTCTCGGATGGTTCACATCCCATCCTAGGAGAAGAACTGCTCCTAGGAGACAGTAGAGGAGAGGCCTTTATCCTTCTTGTCCCCATTTAGAGATGGGCAGGGTGAAATGAGCTGCTTATCCACCATAAGGCTGGGAGGGGTATACAGTTCCTGTCCCCACCAGGATGAATGTAGACCTCTGTGTCCTGTACTTGCCAGCTCCCTTTCCCCCCATCGCTACCCTCTCCTTCACCCCTGCACATTCAGAGCTTCTTGGCACAGAGTTCTTCCCTAAAGCTGCAGCTTTGAGTTCCTGCTCTGGGCAGGTGTCTGGGGCACTGGCCCACTTTAGGTGGCCCATCCTGATCCTGGGTCTCTCCCAAGCAATGCCACCTCCTGTGTCCCTGTGTCTCTGCAAAGAGAACTAAACTCTTGGCAGAGCGTCACATCATGACTATGACAGCTGAGACTATGGGAACCTGGGAGAACCCCTACTGGGAAAGAACTGTCCGTCCTCAGGGCCGCAGTGGGATGTCCATCTTTGGCCAAGGGCAGCCACAACCCTGCCTTCTAGATGCTGTCCACAAGGTGGCAGCAAAGTCCAGAAGTTCCATGGAGGGGCCTTTAGGAAACATTTTACTGTCCCCTTCCCTACCCCACCCCCAATAGAGCCCCCATTCCTCTCCAGGCGGCCTTTGAAGCCCCCTTCCTTCAAGCCCAACCCTTTTGGGCCAGCACTCAGGCTCATGTTGCACAGTGCTCTGTGCCCCGTTCTGATGCTCTAGCAGAAGCTGCCTGGCCCACAGCCGCCTGACCGGACATGCACCTGTGCCCAGGTTGACCCCTGAGGGACTGAGCCTCCTGCACCAGTGCTCAGGCCTGGGCCTCACACTTAGCAGCCTGCTCCAGTCCCCCCTTTCTGCTCATGCGATGATGATATTGGTGACTGATGGCAAAGAAAGTGGTTCTACCCCAAACCCATCCATACAAGGCTCATGGAGGACTCTGCCTTTGAGATTCTTCTGCCCATGTCTCTAAGGCCCCAGCTCAGCCCATCCCACACTGGCTTTGAGATGCTCCTCAAAGATCCTCGGAGAGCAGGCTGAGTGGGCTGCTGCCAGGGCGGAGCTGGGGCAGGCAGAGGGCCAGTGGCTAGTGGGGGCAGGACATGGGGACATACTCTCTCCTCCAGGAGCTCTGGGGCAGGAGCTGGAGGGAGGAAGTTGGCTCTAACTAGGGTTTCGATGACATGATTTCTTTACCCATCCCATGGCAGCTCCAGTAATTTTGCTATTGCCACCTGCTCACTGTGTGTGTCAGTTTCCTGCCACTGCTGTAACAAATCGCCAACTTAAAATGCCAATTTCTTGTCTTACAGTCTGGAGGGCAGAAGTCCAAAGTGGGTTGACAGGGCTTGTTCTTCCTGGAAGCTCCAGGAGAGAATGTGTTTCCTCGCCTTTTCCATGTTCTAGAGCTGCCAGTGTCCCTGGCTCATAGCCCCTTTCGACATCTTCAAAGCCAAGAGCAAAACACCTTCAAATCACTCTCTCTCTCTCAGTCAAGCTTTGCTTTGTCACATGTCCTTCTCCGACTCCAACTCCCTCTTTCCTTTATAAAAACCTTTGCGATTATAAGGGGCCCACCTGGCTAACCTAAAATAATCTCTTCGTCTCAAGATCCTTAAACTAATCACACCTGCAAGGTCCCTTTTATCTTGTAATATGGCATAATCGCAGGTTCTGGGGGGTGGGGATTGGACGTCTTTGGGGGGGGCCATCACACTGCCTGTTAGTCTGCGAGATCTTGCGTGACTTCTCTGCCCCTCCGTTTCCTCATCTGTAAAAATCGGCATAATAAAAGCACCCACCTTATGGATTGTTGTGGGATTAAAAGGGGCAATTCAAGTAGATGGTCTGGCACGAGGTAAAAATGGTTGATAAATTTTAACTATGGTCTTATTATTGCTCTTATGCATAAATCTAGACGCCTCCTGCACAGCAAACTCGACGTATGGTCCATCACAGACCCATTTAACTCAAACTATAAAAGAAATGATACTTTCTATTATGCAACATTCATTTGTGCAGCGGCTTTATGGTGATGAATGCTGAGCTACTTTATAAGCTTAGGAGAAGGGAAGAGACAAGCAGCATTATGGAGGCAAGGACTCCAGGCAGGAGAGAGACGGTCAGGCCAGGGGTGCTCTGTCCTTCCCTCCCCCACCCTCACCCCCAGGGTCTGCTCATCTTCCAGGGGGGAGAGGGGTTAGAAGGTGGTAAGGGCTTTTTGGGGCAAGAGGTGCTACCCACAGCATGGGGTGTAGAATCATTCCCCCAGAAGCCTTTAAAAGAGACACCCCTTCTCTCCATCCATCTTCCTTGTCCGAGACAGTACGGAGAGGCGGGAGATGAATGGCATAACCTCGAGAGACCTTCCCCGCCGCAGGTGCAGGAAGTCCTGCCTTTCCATCTCGGTGACACCTAATGAAGGGATCAGGCACCGGCTCTGGCTGACACATCCACCCCCCTGCCCTTTTCACCCAAGGACTCATTTTTCTGGTTGTCGCTAATGACACTCACATCCACATGGGCTTGTCATCGGGCGGAACATTCCCACTGTGGGTTCACTTCTAAAAGTCTCCTGAACGTGAGTGGGTGGGGCATTCCTCCTCCTACCCTCTCCTCGCCTGGTGTGTGCTCTGTCGACCCCTCCCAAGGCCTTTACTCCCACAATAACTGTGATTCACGTGTTTATTGTCGGGTGATTTGTTTAGCATTTGTGCCGGCCCCCGGCCTGTGAGTCCTGGAGGCAGGTATTGTGTTTGTCACCCTCCCCACTGCTCACACGGTGTCTAACACAGAGCCCACGCCTTGCATCGAGTGAGCGAATCCGCGAAGGAACTGGGGTTGGGGACAAGGACATGGGACATGCAGGCGGAAGACCACTCCTCAGCTGTCACTGTCACTGCCAGTTTGGGTAGGCAGCAGATAGGACACTGGGCGGGGATAGGAGGTGGCCTTGAGGAGGCTGAGTGGCCACTAGAAGGCCCTGAGGTCACTTCCGCAGGGAACCTTCTCCAGGACTCTTGAAGAAAACGGATCACTTTCCCCCGGAACTTCCACACTGTGCTCCAGCTGGTTTGGGGCCGTGTCTGCCAAAATCGCGAGCCCCGGCAGCAGGGACTTGACTGGGTTTTCCTCGGCGCTACATCAGGGCCGACCGCTGTGCCTGGCGCAGTGTAGAACTAACAAAGGGGGTGGAAGCATGGATCTTATGGAAGCCATTTGTCTGTTAGGATGACGGTAAAATCTGTCATCCAAACCCCGGGCATTTCTGTCCTGGAAAGGGAGGCGCTATTGATAATTGCGCGTGGACAACAGGCCGTAAAGGGCGTCTGTCCGGGCTAGCAGGGTGCTCGTCACCCCACCTCTTTAGGTCCCCCCAGCCCCCTCCCTCCACTGAGCCCCAGGCCCCGGCTGTTTGAGCTTC